TTTTCTACGTGATAGTCTATTTTTTCGACTGGTGGGAACTATAACTAAAAGCGTGTGAACACGAATTCAGTATATCGTTTGCTCAGACACCCCTCAACCACAAGGAGCTAGCAATCCGGCTAGTTGAAGGAAAGGCAATTGATAAAATATGTGGCACTTGTGGAAAAGACGTGGCGTGAAATTTAAGCCAGATTGCTTGCTATCGTCAGGTTTCTCACCAAGCAAATCATGATACTGTGTGGTCACTGAGATGACATCCATGATGACAAAGGAGGCTAGGAAAAGAGAATTTTTCAGAATTTTTGCATTTTCTTGCCACATATGAACCTGTTCTTCGCAATCCTTTGGTGACAATTCAATCGGGATGGAAAATCGGCACTTTTTTTGTCTCCACACGTTCAAAATGAATTAGCGAACATTTCGGTAAAGCATGTGCAAAAGAAAATCGTACATCAGATCAAGGAAAGCAAGTATATTTGCTTAATTCTTGATAGCACTCCCGATGTAGCTGCGTGAAAATGAAGTGACGGCTGAGGAGTCGATTCTCAGCTTCATTGAAACTAACACCAAAAGAGCAGAGAAATTTTCTGCGTGGGTTTTGGGAGAACTGGAATAGGATTGAATTCATATTGAAGCCTACCGTGGCTACGCATTTGATAATGCTGCTCTCATGGCGGCCTACCGATCGGGTGTTCAATGACATCTGTAAAATTAACACCTAGTTGCATTTGTTGTGTGCACAAACTAGTTCCTGAATCTGGTTTGTGCACATCAAGTTTATTCGACGGTTCATTCTGTTATATTTTTAGCACGGACCAGCTATCCTTATTCTTTTTTCATCTAGATATTGCTGGAATGTCTTGATTCAAGTCACCGGCCTAAGTATCAAGTGGATGTAAAATCTAGTTAGAGTAGTCCAGCAAGCGCCGTAAATGTTTTGGTGAAGAAATACTCGGAACTCATAACTGAAAGATTTCACAGAATAAGGAGAATATCCATCCACAACATTAGATGCATCTTTAGTTCTCACCTCGATATTGTTGCTTCTGTTTATTTTGTTTCTGAGCTTTTGAACATCTGTTCTCATGAAAATCAAGGATACGCAGATATGTATAAACAAAAGGACTGGATCTACAGCAAAGCTCTGTTAAGCTTACAGTGTTAAGAGTTTGCTTTCTTCAGGAGTGGGAAAATGATGAACATTGCAATTGATGAATTCAAAAAGCATTATGTTGAATTGGGGACAAGCATGAAGCGTTTAATCCGCCAAAAGAAACGAATGGACTTAGAAGAATCGCTTGATATATCGATATGACTTGCTGCTGAGTTAAAAAGGGAACATACTGTCTGTCATGTACGGTTTGACTGATGAAATGCCATAGATTTTAGCAAGTTCATGCCCTCGCCAAAGAATGGGCTTTTCTTACGCAGTCAAATCTGCTTGTTGATAACTATGGTTGTCCGCATAGCGAAGTTTAGAAGATACAGAACATAGGAATTCCTTGCCCAAAAAAGAAGATTGCAGTATTTTGTGAAGCTTCAGACAACGACAAAATTAATGGACCTTCTAAACTTTTGAGCTCCACACAGAACTATCACCTCGGGAAATCTGCTGCACATCTTTTTTACTAGAGCTATTAGTACTGCCAGTTGTGAGAGCGCATTCTGAAAACGCAACCTTACAAAAGACTACCTTCAATCATCAATGAACCAGATAAAGCCTACGGATGGACAGTTCCCCTATAAAGGGAACTTGCCAATGGACTGAATTTTCTTAGTGTTATCAATACTATTGCCCCAAGTAATGCACGAGTATTGTAACAATACCATACCTGCATTTACGGCAGCATTCTAAAATTAGATCTTTGATTGTTGTTACATGAAACAATATATTGTATGGCAAATCCCATTTCTGGGGGTTTACGGATTTACAACTGCCAGGGGGCGGCAATTTTACGTCCGCCCCGGACGGCAAAAGTAGTTGCTACGTCACTGCTCGATGGTATTGATACTGTACAAGAAGGGCAGTCGCATTGACTATCCTAACCACAAGGGTATTAGCCTAACACCAGTTGTGACAAAATAACGGGCCTCAATTCTCGTTCGTCGCCTCACTGCCGAACGGGAATCCGGATTAGGGAAGAGCGGGCAGGTTTCCGCCCAGGACGTGGCTGTACAGACCACTTCTTCACTCTGCGGCAGGTGCTAGAGCAGCGCCACGCATACCGCAGACCGACAATAGCTGTGTTCCTCCATTTCAAGAGTGCGTTTGATTCAGTCGATCGATGCATTCTGTTCGAAATACTTGCGCGGATAGATGTTCCCATAAAATATGTGAACATCTTACGTGCTCCATACTGGACCGCTACAGGCGCGTCAGGATCTACGGTGACCTGTCGGATAGCTTTCCGACAACAAGTAGCGTTCGTCAGGGTTGTCCGATTTCCCGTTTTTATTCAATTTTGTTGTGGACTACATCATGGAGTGTTCGCTTGCGGAGCTTCACGATGCAGGCGTTGAGGTGTTCCTTGATGAAAGGCTAAGTGATCTTGATTATGCGGACGATATCGTCTTGCTTTCCAACGAGGTTGCGGCGGCACAATCGACCCTGAATAACCCATTATTTGGTATGCGTTTCGCACCAAAGTGCAGAGTATTTCCACAGGACCACTGCGTGCTCTATACTCGAACACTACAGGCCACGTCAGGGTCTACGGTGACTTGTCGGATGGCTTTCCGACAACAAGTGGCGTTCGTCAGGGTTGTCCATTTTCACCATTTTTGTTCAACTTCGTCGTGGACTGCATCATCAACTGTTCCCTCGCGGAGTCTCACCATGCGGGCGTTGAGGTGCTGCCTGGTGAAAAGTTGGTTGATCTTGATTATGCGGACAATATCGTCTTGCTTTCCGACGATGTTGCGGCTGCGCAATCAAACATGAATAACCTATCTAGTGTGATCCCATCATTTGACATGCGCTTCGCACCTTCAAAGTACAAAGTGTTATTGCAGGACCACCAGCCACTTGATGGCTCCTTGACCCTAGATTACGAAGAACTCGAGGTAGCCGGTCAATTCCCTTACCTTGGTAGCTGTGTCAGGATCGTTGGGCGCATATCAACTGAAGTCAGTTCTCGTGTTACAAACGCGTGAACTGCCTTCCTGAATCTGCAACATCTTTGGTGACAGAAAGGGGTTTCCCTCCGCCTCAAAGGTCATGTATACAAGGCCACAACGAGGGTCGTCCTACTCTATTGGTGTGAAAATTGGCCCCTTCGTTCGGAAGATCTGAAGCGCCTTCAAGTCTTTGATCATCGCTGTCTGCGGAGCATTGCTGGTTTCGGGTGTCACCAGCGTGTTCGCAACGATTATGTGCGTAGGTGAGTACTAAACAGTGATGCTCAAGCTTGTTTCGTATAGCAACAGGTAACACTGATTATGTTGCCTTGGCTTAGGCACATACTACGTATGCCCGGTCACCGCTTACTTAGGAGGGCTTTGTTTTGTCTGCCAGATGTAGGGTGGCTCAAAGCTCGAAGTGCACAAGAGCGGGAAATGAAATCATTGACGACTAATCTTGGTGCCGTCGGTCCGTCTCGTCTTCCAGGCTGAAGTTCACTTGACTCGCCTTGTGCTTAGCTTGAGAGTTTACAGGACATGGCTCACAGTCCACACCAGTGTCCCATCTGCTTCCGTATCCTAGTCGGACTACCTGTAAGGTGTGTTTGGTGCTGAGTTATCTGCGGGTTAATAGCTGATTATGACGGGGGCAGTGAAAGTCGCAAGGGAGCTGTTTCCCCGATACCACGTTGTCTTTGCGCGGTATCCAGCTGTTTGTGACCATATGTTGTCCTCACAAGGTGTAGGCGCGTTGACCCTGAATGTTTGCTTAAGGCATAAAGTTTTTCCGATAAGTCCCCCTTCTCTCCCACTTAGTATTCTTCGTTCCTTGGGTCGTTATGATTGTATGGCAGCGAGGCATCCGTTCAAATGGCCGAAGATGATGATTGATGATGAGGAGGAGGAGGTGGGGGGAGATGGATGAATATTAACCAGGCGAACTCGCCACCCCTCGCTCCCATATGTCGACACCACTCAGATAAATAAATTATAAACCCGGTTTTTTGGGTTGTGAGAGAAATTCCGACTACGTTACATGCATTCAAAATTGTCAAGCGTTAATCTATCTTTGGTGATGCATGAAAAATATTCTTTCCTTTGTTTCCATCAGTAAAAGCGCAACTGGTTAGGTAGACAGCTGTCCAGCAGTCTCTATACCCTCTAGATTGAACAGGACTTTATATGAGGTGAATGTCATGTCGTACTTTGTTGTTTCAATCGCCACACGGTTTACTGCAGGCTGCATCCTCTTTGGTTTGTCACTGATCAATTCAATAGCATCAGCATCATCATTTGCGCGGTTACCCGGAATAAGATCCGCACCGGAACCCTAGATGTCTTACAAAGCTCTCAACAGGACGTCCTGGATCGTTAGACGGAACATCCCTGTCTTACACCGCTATTGACGGCAGAAATTAAATATAGCTTACCATAAGTCGTCACTCTGCACGAAGCATGGCGGTAAACGGATTAGGTACCCCATTCTTTTTAAGCAACGCCATAAGGCAGGCCGATTTGTACGCAGCTAAGATGTACAAAAACGCGACAGTGGTGTTCTGGTAACAAAGCTGACGCTGTTAAAGAAGTTAATGGTTCATAAATATATGGTCTGTACGCCGTCGACCAGTTCGTTTTCCATAGGAGTGTAGTCCTCGATTCGAGGTTGATCTGCAGAGTCGAATGAAAGGCCGTGATGTGAGGTTCGATCGGTCATGTTGAGGTCGATAGGACAGGGTATGCAGTCACAGCTTCTCTCATTGCGTTCCTCGTACGATAAATCCCGATCCGTTTTTTGTTCTCTTTGTGGTCTGTCTCTTCCCTCATTATGCGCGTTTTCTATCGTCACTTTTCATAGTACACGAATGATTTTATATTTTCAGTCCCTTGTCCCTTACTTACCGATCGCTACGGGACCCAACTCGTTGAAATTGGAATCGGCACTTTATGAAGCTATTCTTGTTGACTACATGGATCGCGAACCATCTCGGTTCCTGGAATTGCTGTCTCAGTGGTGCGAGCTAGAATTAATCTTGTCCTACGATAACCTACTTCGGATGCTGATTGATCGGATCGACCGCCACGCATCCTTATCAGGTACTCTATTTTCGCGGCGTTATATTTTGTGTTTTTATTTAATATTTCTTCAAAATAGTCCTAACGACCATTGAAAACGTTCCACATTCAGTTTATATGCTTTTGAGGTCCATCGTTTCCACTCTGAATGCACTTTTGATTAATACATCGTCTATTACACTTTTTGCACAATCAATTCATGACCAGGACTCTGCAGTTTCGCTCTTTTAGGCCATTTGAGCTCGCTATTCTTGGTGGTTGTGATAAGTGTCTTTCACCTCTCGCAGTCTTTGTAAGCAGCTTGCTCGCATTTAGCTCCCGTACACACGTGTGTTGCCTCAGCATGTGACTTTGCAAGTGCAGTTGTTTGTCCTCTCTTTCCGGTAGTTACCGTCGATCCTCGCTGCGGGTACTAACAGAATGCCGGCAGCCGCTCTTGATCAGATACTTGTAGGTTACTAACATGCTGAACTCTTGGCAGCATCCCTCCCTAGCTCAGTGTTGATTGCGATCCTCTCCATAGCATTCGTTAGCACCATTTTTATCCACGGTACAACCGTGTATCGCTGCTCATTATCGGACGCTGGAAACCTTTGGCTGTGTCTGCATGTCTACTCTTCTGTGATCTCCTCGACTTGTGTGCTGTGGCACCTACTGCCTGGCGCGCATGTAGCTTTATCGACCTGTTGATCCGGATTCGGCGAACACGGGGAAGTATCCGAAAATTTACAGCACCGAGATTGCTTACTCCTCCATCAGTTCGCCGTCTCGCGTTTCTCCCTGTCTGACGGAATTATTTCTGGCTGATTATGGATCTTAAATCCTCTTAGTTTACCATGCAGGATTATATCAACCTTAGTCCAGCTTCTTCAACAAAAGTAACTCGCATGAGCCGAGTCCTCTCCTCGTTTCTCGCAACCCCTGTTCACTCACGTCGAGGGGGTCTATCAATCAAACTCTGCAAGAACTCGAGCTCGGGCCTGAAGATTTGCATCAGTTGAAATAAGTGCATTAAATGTCATGAGGTTGCAACGTCTCTGGTCACTGGCAGTTTCACTCGCTTTCTTCTTTGCCTTTTCCACTGACCTTTGCTTACGGCATCGCACTCTAGGACGTTGCCCTTAAGATGCAATTCATGCCTTCCAGCTGGGCCTTCGTTAACGGTTGAACATCGTTCTGGAGAGCTTGCAGCCGGTGAGCAAATGGGCTGGTTCGAACATAGGAGTGGCTGTATGCTCGTCCGTTGGTATGAACACACCGAGCTCCTCGCTATGAACTTTTTTGCCCTCCTTACTGGTTCGCGCGGTTTATCGACTTTCCGGCTGCATTTTGCTCTGACATCTTTTCCAAAATATCTAGTCGTTTAAATTGCTCAATATATAGACCATTGCACGAAATATGAAAATTTACACATTATGTCCAACAATTTCGCAACAACTTTACTTTGTCTTTACAGCTAGCGTAGCAAAAATGTTAACAAAATGTAAATTAATTAACCGATATGGGAATGCTTGAAACCTCTACGACAGAATCCATAATATGCACGTAGACACGATGCACAAGTTCAGAATCCGGAAAAACGGCTGAATATGCATAAAATCACTATATTATAAATAAATAAATTGTATATGGCTCGACCATGCGAGAAGCCGTTCCCAGAAGAGACGGATCAAATAATAGTACAGCAGTTTCATATCATGGTATAATAAATTTAAAAAATGTGAGCAGAAAATGAAAATTTGTGTAGCGCGAAGCGGTCCAAAATATTTACATTCCTCTTGTTCTATCGTCTGACAAATTTTTAGCAGTCACATGAGAGTTGATCGCACACGAGAAAAAAAAGAATAAAGTGCTGCGGGCCAACAAAATATAACCACTTGTGCACTTGACCACATGCATTTTTAGGCACCATTTACTCCGTTCTCAAAAGCGTTATCTAAGGACTGTGCTGTTTGAAACATTATTATCACATTTTGAACGGTTAAATGATCTTTTATCGAAAGCTTAAACAAACGCAATGTGCAACAAGTTCTGATAGCTCTTGGAAGTTTGTTCCAAAGCTTTGAGCAGTGTATTAAGAAGAAACGCTCCCTAATTCGCGTATTGAACTTTGGAATCATGACCGTTGTCACCTTATTTCGTAGCTCGTATCTAGTGTTAACGGACATATGGACACAGTTAGCATAATTGTGCATGTGATGGTGAATTAGTCTGTACAGGAAACACAAGTTCATCTTCATTATCCGTAGCCAAAGTGGGTCAAGTCCAAGTTTTTCACTGCGCTCTCTGTAGGTCAGCTTGGAGGAATATCCGCACAGCTTCTTTGTAAAGCGTCGCTGTACCCTCTCAAGAGCATGCTGGTCAGATTTCCGCAGATTCGACTGTAGTAGTGAGCAGTATTCCATGCCAGGTAACCCATATGTTTTGTAAAGCCAGATACGAGATTCTGTGAGTTGAAATGTATGACAGATATAGCCAATAGTCTTCATGGCTTTCGAAACTTGGAAGTCACAATGTTCCGAAAAGTTGAAGCTAGTGGAATACCGCACACCCAAGTCGCGAATCACTTTGCACTGTGATATAAACGTGCCTTGTAATAATAGACTGCCTGGTGGAACTTCGCATTTGTACGACAGAATATTACACTTGTCCACGGAAAAGGACATCTGCCACAGTTTGCTCCAGGATTCAAGTGCCGATAGATCTTCCTGGATGTGGCACAAGGCTGCGCGGGTATCTGCACGTTCTTGTGAGTAGACATTTAGTGTCATCAGCAAACAGAAAAGTAGCACCATGTCCTATTCTATGAAATACATCGTTGACGTAGAGGAGAAAAAGAAGTGGACCAAGTACACTTCCCTGAATTACTCCACTGGTGACTGCTTTCGGTTTAGAGACACGGTCGCCAATACGCACCACCTGATGTCTGTCAGCTAGGTATGACGACAACCAAGAAAACATTGGTTCTCCAATACCTATTTCCTTCAGCTTGAGGAGTAGTCTTCGATGCGGCACTCTGTCGAATGCTTTTTGCATGTCTAAGAACAGGACAATAACACTGTTGCCTTTGTCTATGGCAGCCGTTGTGTGGTTTAAGAAGTCTGTCTGGCATGTCGCACAAGATCTGCCCTGCAAAAAACCGTGTTGTGAATTGTTGACGACGTTTTTCTTATTCAAGAAAATAAGTAATTCATCTTTCACTATCCTTTCCATAATTCTAGATATTACAGGTGCGTGATTGATGGGGCGATAGTTTTTAATTTCGTGAACGTTTCCATTCTTATGCCGCGGGATAACAACGGAAGTCTTCCAATGATTAGGATATACTGCACTGTTAAAAGAGAGCGTAAAAATGTTGAGCAATAGAAGAGGCAAGTCGCTCCCACCGTTTTTTAACAAACAAGGGGGAATTCCATCAGGTCCTGGGTAAGTCGAGGAAGACAAGCGGGAGACTTGACCGGAGATTTTTGCAATAGTGAATTCCACTGTGCATAAACTTTCAGCAATGTGTGGTGTGACAAGCGCTGGTGTGGCTAGCGGTTCATCAACCATTGATTTGGCGAAATAGGCGCTGAAAGCCTCACAAATTTCACCCGGAGCATCAAGGTATGTGCCATCCGGCATAATGATAAAATTGATGGAATTACTGCGACGCAAACCTCTGGCAAAGATTGATACCCAGAACAAACTGGCCTGGTAGCGAAGTCTGAAAAGTTAAATGGACGGGCGCTCAAACGCAGCTTCTGCACTTGGCCTGAAAGGACTACTACTCTCTCATCTTACGTCATAAGACCAATGCTCGAATACGGATCACCTGGTCATTGTCCGATTACCCTTGGCGAAGTAGGAAAATGTGGGTGTTTAGTGTGTGGCTGCTAGTCTTCTCCGCAGTTAAAGGGTTATGTCGTACGAAGACTGGGGCTTTACACCCTACCGTGTCATCGGTTTCGAATGGACATGCACCACTCATGGGCACCGGTACAAGCTTGCGGTTACAGACATAAAGCGGATAGTTCGTTCTCTGTACCTTGAACCTCGAGTGTCGGAATACTGGAACAGTTCGTTTGAGAAGATAGTCGAGGCGATTTCGATTTCGAGAACACATTGCATCTGCGTAGGACGTTGCACAGCGGAACTGCGTTGACAATGCGCGTTAAGGAATGGCGTCATTTTGCTTGCGTGCCCGATAATGTGTTGACGGAGTCACACAAATATATTTCTTCTAGCCCTCTATTTCTAGTATTCAGCATTCCTTAACTTCTTGTGTGCAAGCGTCGAAGTTGCTTAGAAAATAAACAAACTTTTATTCTTGACGATGCGAGACACCTGTGTCGGCTTATCGGGTAAATGCATACTCGTATGACGTGTTGATCATCTATGAGTCAGGAAAATAAAAACAGATCAGATAATGAAGAGCAACAATGGTAACTAAAATGTTTGACTGAAATGAATTGATGTTGGCGGACATTCAAACACTCACCCATGTATGTTACTATAAAACAGCTAATTCCTGTATGAGATTATGATAGTGAACAAGTACTGGGTCATATGAAACTTGCACTCTGTTCGTACACTTGTCTTGTTGTTGTGAAAGATCCGAACGGCTCGTTCACCTTTTGTACAGCTAAGAACTTCTTGGTGCTTTTGAGAAATTCGTGCTCCCCAGTACAAACATCTGCTCGGGTTGGTAACTTGTCCCAGGTTTTGACGTACCTGTTAAGGAAAACGTTCGCACACCCGCTAGTCTTGGACTCGCATTCTGCCACTGATTTTCCTCCATTTTGTGTGTTGTGAACTGCTGATTGCAATAATGATGTAATGAAGTCGAGAATAAGTGCGTTTTTCTGCATGATATTGAAAAATATGCCAAAGTTACGCTACATGAGCCGGAGTCGGATCGGATCATGCTTAAACTTATCACATCGTTTAGGATATCCAGTTATGAAGAGGCACCTAAAAAGCGTTCCGTGAAAGCTCCCTGCACCTGTTACATTGCAATAAGGTTGTTTTTTGTGCTGCGG